TGCCTGCCATTTCCCTTGATGCTGTATGACCCCTATGGCTTTAGCGCTTCCCCGCTCCTAAATATATAATTATAGAACTCTGATAACTGTTTGAACCCCTCCTCCCTACAGTTTTAATTCTTCTCTATGATTGTAATAATAATGCAACGACTGCATCTTGTTAGCTAAACGTCGTCATCTGGGTTTTCTACGAGGCAAATGTAACGTCATTGGTTTGATTGTCATAATAATGCAACGACTGCATCATGTTGGCTAGACGTCATCTGGGTTTTCTCCGATGCAAATGTAACGCCATTGGTTTTCCCGTGAAGATGCAGTCACACACCTCTTTTGACCCTCTTCCCTTACCTCAGTCTTCTTGCTCTCGCCCATTTCCCCATAGCTTTTTATAGTTCTAACACACGATTTAAATATTTTGGACTTGCCCATTACCTCGGACAGCGACATAATTCTTCCATGTAAGATGAAATTTTTATTATCGGAAGTTGGGGAAAAGGAGGAAACTCACATGGGAGTTAGAGTAGATGATGACATGGAAGTATAAACACCAGAGAATTAGGAAACAAATATTACTCAAAATAGGGAAACAGCGGGGTTTACATTTTTTGTTCGCTAGGTTCTCTTTCCTAGGATGCGACCCACGACGATCGACAAAGTCCTAGGCATCTGTTCACTGATAGGTAAACTGCACTGCAGGTGTTTGAAGGCTTGCTTAAGGCTGTCACCTACAAATAGTAAAAACCTGAGGCACATTCATATTCTTGGTGTATCTAGCTGCATGTCTGAAGTGCCAAGTGGTGCATAAATAAGCTTTACTTACTTAAGAAGGATAAAATGCACTGAGAACTGTGAATTTTTGTATACATACAGAATGTTTGTAAAGAAATGCGCTCTTGGGACTCCACTTTCGGTATTAGCATTTGATTTCCAGCCTCCCCATTACCCAGGATGCGACCCACTGGCTTTACATAATACCCAGAAACCTATATTGTTAGGTGAACGTGCACAGGTGTAAGGAAACGTATATTTACAAATTTGGGATTACCGGAGCAGAGCAGTGCTTGTGGTGTTCAATCTTGTGTTTTGTTTTTTCTGTGGTTAAAACTGAATATAACCCATATGGATTTACTTTTCCTGGATATAATCAATATTTTTGTTTACCCATTCTCCTGAGGATAAGATTTCCCCCACTATCCTATCCTATCCTCACACAGCTGGAACATCAGCAAGGTGGCAGTGACGACCTATACAAGGTCGTCTGCAGGGCCATTATGGAACCACCATCTTTTAAAGCATATAAAGCTCCAAGAAGTGCAAAGGTTTACAACGAAACTAGTCCCTGAGGAGAAGCTAGAGGAGCTAAACTTGACACTGGAGGACAGGACTACAGGTGACATTTATTACGACATACAAAAATAATGAGAGGAATTGACAAAGTGGATAGGGAGTCTGTTTAAGAGGCAGGTCACAGATACATGAATTCACAACTGGAAATTAAAAACAGTCACAGGGATGCTCGGAAATATTAATTAGCCCAAGAGTGGTCAGGAAATGGAAAGACCTAGACCTATGAAGTGTTAGAAGCGGAATTTATCATACACAGCCTTAAGAATAGGTATGACAGGGCTCTCACAGCCAGGAGATTGAAATCATTAGAGTAAAGGCGCTGAGACTCGACTCGGCAACGATAATAGAGCTCACACACGCTCACACACCCCTACCTACGTGCTTCCTTCCTCTCTGCCCTCCCTTTCTTTCCCTTTTACCTTCCCCTCTCCTATCTTCTCCCCTTTTCCTGTCTCTCCCACTCTCTACCCTGTCTCTCTCCCACTCTCTACCCTGTCTCTCTCCCACACTCCCTCTCTCCCTCCCTCTCTCCCTCCCTCTCTCCCTTTTTCTTCTCTCCCCCTCTTGCAATCTCTCCCTCTCCCCTCCCTTTTTCCCCTCCTCCCCCCTCACGCGCACATGGGCGCGCGCACACTGTTATTGAATTCTTACCTCTGCAACTTTCCATACCAACTCTTCCAACTTTGTATAGTTTACCGCGGCCTCTTCCTCCTCTTCCCCCTCCTCCGCCTCCTCTTCTGCCGCCTCCTTTTCTCTTCCTCGTCTTCCTGTCTCTCTTCCTCCGCTAGCTCCTTCCATTTCCCTACCACCTGAGACAGAACTACTTCCTAACATCCCAGTGGGTTTTCAGTCTTTAACTTCTCTCTATATCCTTGGTGGTGCTCGCTTCAGTCTCTACCCCATCCTTCGTAAGAATATTTCCAGTAACCCTTGAAGGCTGTTACTTGACTTTAGTGAAGGGTTTTGAGTCATGCAGTTAGAGCTACCCTTCCATTTTCTGGAGCAAACTTGATTACCTTCCGTTCTCCAGGCGATGTGCTGCCCTTTAGATCTATACCTACCGCTTCATGTGGAATGTTTTAGCTTTGACTGGTTAAGCATGTCTCCACAAATAATGCACACTTCTCAGCTCTAAGAACATAAGAACGAAGGAACACTGCAGAAGGCCTACTGGCCCATGCGAGGCAGGTCCAAGTCTCCTACCGGCTTAAGCCAAAGCACCCAACCTAGTCAGGTCAGGTCACATTGACTTAAGGGAGGAACACGGCAACCGACCTGTTAGCACAAGCTATCAGGTCTAACTCACACCCACCCACATCTACTCATGTATTTATCCAACCTATTTTTAAAGCTACACAACGTTCTGGCCTCTATAACGGTACTTGGGAGTTTGTTCCACTCATCCACAACTCTATTACCAAACCAGTACTTTCCTATATCCTTCCTGAATCTGAATTTTTCCAACTTAAAACCATTGCTGCGAGTCCTGTCTAGGCTAGATATTTTCAGCACACTATTTACATCCCCTTTATTTATTCCTGTCTTCCATTTATACACCTCAAACCTATGTACTTTCTAAAGCTTCTGAACATAATTAAACAGAGGGTTCTACCCTGGTGATAGGTATTCAAGCACGGGTCTAATTTACCTATTTGTAGCTAAAGATAGTTCCTGCAGTCTATCATATTGCTACATCTTGTATTAAATCCTGTGGTTCGTGTCTGTAAATGTACGTGTGTGTAGCAACAAGTAATTGTCTTGCTTCTATGGAACAATATTAGGTATTTGTAGATGAATGGTTCACAGAACCGACATGTTGATAAATTAGACACATGTGCAACTCTTGGGTATCTTTATTGAGGAAACGTTTCGCCACACAGTGGCTTCATCAGTCCATACAAAGGAGAATCTTGAAGAACAGGAGGAGAATGAGGTAATCAGTCCCTCAACCTTGAGTCGATGTGGTCAGTCCATCAATCTTGAATAGAATACGGCATACGTGCTGAGAAGGAGCTTATAAACCGTTGGCAGGAGAGGTGCAGAAGTCATACGTCGTGTAACATTTGTTCAATGTTGAAGTAGGTCGTGCCCAAGAATTAGGCATGCGAAGAATTCCCAAGTATTAAGATCCCAAGAAGTTGCAGTGTCTGACAGGTTTGTAGATGAATGGTTCACAGAACCGACATGTTGATAAATTAGACACATGTGCAACTCTTGGGTATCTTTATTGAGGAAACGTTTCGCCACACAGTGGCTTCATCAGTCCATACAAAGGAGAATCTTGAAGAACAGGAGGAGAATGAGGTTGAGGGACTGATTACCTCATTCTCCTCCTGTTCTTCAAGATTCTCCTTTGTATGGACTGATGAAGCCACTGTGTGGCGAAACGTTTCCTCAATAAAGACACCCAAGAGTTGCACATGTGTCTAATTTATCAATATTAGGTATATTAAACAGTGTGCTGCTACCCTACTCTACGGTAGTTCCGTAGTGGGAACAAAGCTAGCGATATATTTTATCACAATTCATCCTACAGGATGAGTTTTGTGCATTTAAATAATGAAATCTGCCAGCTTGAGCTGGGAAACTAGGCAGCGAGGTTATAATTAACCCTTCCATAGTCACTATGGGTTCAGTAGCTGAGGCAGTTTGAAAGGTTTTTCTCCAGCAGAGTTGGAATTACTGAGGTATTGCCATTTGTTAGGTTTGTGTATCCTCCACAAAGAGAAATGAAGATATGATCACGAAGCGAGACAACCCCTTCAAGGAAATGTGCTTTGATGGGGCGGGGTGGAAGGGCTCATGGTCCCAGGAATTGGAGCTATTCTCACTCCTTGAGATCTAATATCCTCCCATTACAAGGCACTATACAACTCCAACGTATTTAGCGCTCCCTAATCTATATAAGAAGAGACAAAATAAATTATTTACACTAAATTCACGGTTGCACTACGCTAAAACGTACGAACATAGGAAAGAAGGAACACTGTAGCAGGCCTACTGGCCAGTGCGAGGCAAGTCCAATTCACCTACCGGCTTAAGCCGGTCAGGTCAGGTCATCATCACGAAACCAAACTAAAACTTAGGCTAACCTAAGATAAATTGGGCGGGATTAGCCAAAATTTAATTACATTAATTAGTAAGGCTATATTGCCTAGCTGAATTTTCAAGGAAGTGAGGTGTACCTACTCGTTTAATTACGTACTCTCCCAGTGTGCATGCATTTGCCTGATTGTACTCGGCGTTGAGGTTTGTATGACCCTTGTGAATTTAGCGCTTAGTTTTGGTTGTGTACAGGTGCACTTTTTGTGTACATATTCACAGCTACTTTTAACCCAGCACTTGAATACTGGCAGTATATATTGTTTTCTTTTCGTAAACAGTGTTTTCTTACACAGGGTATTACAGAAAGAAGCATTGGAGGTTCCTAACTTAATTTTCTTTAGATGCGACCCCCAACAGTCGGCTGACACACAGGTTCCTATTTTCAGTGCTAGGTGGGCAGGTGTGTATCCATGCCAGTAATCGGCACTGTAATTGTGAGACGAATGCTTTTACTGTACCAGTGAGTTACGTGGTACCCCGGAGCAAATGGTGGGTGGGGGTGCAGGAGGGCTCTGGGCGGAGCCTGGGCTGCTATATATCCACGTCAGTGCTGGCAGCCTCAGACCGTTCTAGCCTTTGCTCGTGAGAGGAAGTGTAGTTCTGTGCTCTAATATCCCCTCTGCACTAGGCTTGCTACTTTGTGTGCACACGGCCTTCGAGGGTTTGATTACTGGTAAAAGACTGAAAGAATACTCTGATCTGAAGATATTACTTGTAAGGAAAAACAGAAGTATCTGAGTCTCGACGGGCGGTCATAGTGAAACCTCGTCAGGTGAAAGGATTGGTGAATTTAAATGCCTAGTCAACCAAAGCGCCAAGTGGCCCTCCCAACGAGCACGATGCTGTACAACTCTGTTGATAACTACTACCCCGCTGATCATGAAGACAACAGGTAAGCACAGCTAAAAAAAAAATATACGAGCACTAACTGGCAGTGGAATTTTTCCATGGGTAAGTGAAGGATCTATATAGACTTTATTAGGGATGGGCATGAAGACTGCACTCCGCCCAACCACACAAAATATATTTTTAATGTCTAAAAATATATATAAATTGATTTTTTTTTACAAATTTGTACGTATATCGCATTCTCTAAAATTATGTATATTCTTTAAGAAAATTATATTAAGTATCCCTTCAAGGGGAAGGGGGGTGTATTGATGCTGGTGAAGGGCACCTGATGCCAGGCATTGGAGCTACCCTACCCCTTCCCTTCCTCAGGCGCTGTATGACCCCTACAGGTATAGTTCTTCCCTCGTGAATATAATATTTAAATATTAAACTATACTGGAAGAGCTTAGAATCATAAAGTAAAAGTGTGGGATTGGAGAAAGTATTCATGGTGGACATTGAATACTCAAGGTGAACGCAGAATTTAGTATGCTGCATAGGGCCATGTTATTAAGTAATTTTGGTGTTAATGATAAACTAACAAGTGGGGGGGGAAAAAGTTGTTTAAAGTATTCACTGCTTGTGGGTTATTTAAGGCTGCTGAACACACGCACACCTAACATTCAAGATGACTTCATTCACCCAAATTGGAATTAAGCTGTATATATACTCAAGATGTATATATGTTCCTTTGTATATTATACCGTTTGGGGATTTACCAGGACGGTGTTACGATTATTCATGGACTACCATGTGCGACAAGGTTGGCAAGAGTTTGACGTTAAGACTTCATTAAAGCGTTAGATAATGCTATCAAAGATACGATAAATTATCAATGTTAAACCAGAATCTTTCTATTTTGACGCTCGATGAAAGTGGAAAGAGGTTATGTACAGTGGTAATATAATCAGTTTCGCTGTGCTTCATTTCCAGACGTGTCTACGACAGCAATTGGCTTAGCGCAGTGGATGACGTTCACGTCGATTGGTCAGTCAGGTTAAGGCAAGTAATTGGGATAGGTGACCCCAGTATCACCTTAGGCTACCTGTGGTTCGTTTCAGGTAGTTCTAAAACAGCCCTGCCTGAAACTAAGCATCTTTTTATTACTGCCTGATCAGCCAGGTTGATCCGATACAACCTGCAGGAAGTAGTTGGGTTCATTATTGAATGAAACTTCCACACTTCTGCAAGCAGTACTATCAATATTTGCTGGTAGGTTGAGCTTTTTGTGATCGATTTCATGGAGCATCTGTTAAATCTTAAACATATCTTCCTTGTGTTAACCCGCTTTCCTTTCTTAAGGAATACAACAACAAAGTAATCCTCATTGGAAAAGAACAAGCGCAATGAGTATTGTGATATGCATTTTCATGAAAATTTTGAATTCGGCATAGCACAAATGCTACAAGTTTTAGTTCAGTTGCATAATTATAGCCAGAAGCTGACTTCCAAGCGGTTATAGCCATATATATAGCATTGTCAAACTAACCGCATTAAAAGATTTTTATTATCGTTCTTTTTGTAGTTTAACTTTGGGTGGGTGTTAAGCGTTTATGACTTTTGGCAGATGACTTAAGTTTGCCAAGAGCTTAGTGGCGGTATCACTGATATTCTTTATTGAATCCTATAGTGTGTGTGGCTAGGAGAGTTTTAAAGCATTTCAATTTTAGATTTTTGCCAATTTTTTTATGTATTGCTTTGTGTGGCAGTCATCATACAAACATTAACTGCTGTAAACTGTACTCCAAGGAGCGAAGAGGATGAAGATAAATCATATTACTGGAAAGTTCCAGAGGGAATGGCCCCAAGTCTGCACAAGAAAATTGCGCCCCACAAGAGAAAGAATAAAAACAGGGTGCAAATTGCCAGAGCAGCCTCCTAGCTGTCTTCAAGAGGGAACTGGGTAAATTAGTTATTTCTACTCACTCAGGCTGTGTTGGCTACACTAAATTGCATGCAGTACCAACAGCCTGGATGTGAGGTGATTACTGAGAGGCCTTGTCTGGATCGGGCCGCAGAACCAGTGACTCAAGGAATCTTTTTTTTTTTTTTCGTGTTAACTGAATATTCTTGAAGTGACTTTCCTTCCCCCCCCCCATTAATTTTTTGCCCAATGCTAGCCTATCTAAACTTGTTACTATTTAATATTCGATATGGAACATTTTTGTAAACTCTCGGTACATGTGTAGCTAGACATGCTAAAAAAAAATTGGAAACCCTTGGGACATGAACATCATATACCTGTTATTACTCTAGAAGTCCTGATGAGCTGTTGGAAGAGTTAATAGCCTGGATAAGCGGTGGTTTGGTGTATATAGCAAAGGCTCGCTATTGCACGATGGATGACTCGAGGGAAATACTTTGATGCCATGAGGGACTCCTGGTCCAAGGAATTGAACCTATTCTCACTTGGATTGAACCTGATTGCCTCTCATTCTTCCAGGAGCTGTGTGATCTCTACGGGTTTAACGCTACCACTTGAATTTAATGATGTGAAGCTATCATAACCGTGCCTTGAGGAGTATAACTTGCCCGAGTGTCGTTGAAACGTAATTGCATGCATATATTATTTGAATAAAGATAATATTTCGTTATAATTACCGAAATGTTTCAATTTTAATGGCAGGTATTGGTTGCTTGTAGCTTCATTTTTTTTCTACAGTAGTGTGAGGATGAACAAGCACGACGAGCTCTCAGATTTCTCCTCCCAGTCCATACTGTGCGCCATGGACCGCTTCGTTAAGGCTGTCAATAACATGAACGAGACAGTAATGGTACCTTGCAGGTCAGTCACCTTGCTTTCTGTCAATGATTTTTACTTCTTGCAACCTGTACACTAATTGGCACATCACATCGGATCTAGCTCTAGTATCTTTCGTAATAAACCTGCTTGTTGCTATGTAGGTCTTGAGAAATCTCAAGCAAGTTTAACCCAGGTTAATTCCATGTGTAATATACTAGGTGTTCACAAAAACACTACCTGATTTCAAACAGGTATAACGTAACTTTATTGTAATAATCTTTCACAGTTAGCAGCTATAGATGCAGGATTTCATTCTTTCGTTTGGTATAGGGTAGCTTTAAAGGCACTCAATGTGCGCCCCTCTGGTTGCTCAGCAAACATCGATGTGATAGTCCAGTTCGGTCCAGACGCTCGGCAGCATATCTGGTGTTATCACGCGAACTGCTTCAGTAATCGAAATTTTCAGCTCCGAGGTTTTAGGGAGTGGTGGTTACGTAAACTGCTCTTCACGTACCTTCAAAGAAAGAAGTCAAACAGTTAGGTCCGGTAACCTCTGCAAGTGGCCTGCGAGGTCACCGGACCTATTATTACGTACCACCACTACCTGCAGCCCTGGAGCTGAAAATTTCGATCACTGAAGCAGTTCGCATAACTCCAGATATGCTGCCGAGCATCTGGACCGAACTAGACTGTCCCATCGATGTTTGTCAAGCAACCAGAAGGGCGCATATTGAGTGCCTTTAATGCTACCCTTTACCACATGAAACTGAATGAAATCCTGCATCTGAAGCTGCTAACTGTGAAAGATTATTACAATAAAGTTACGTTATACCTGTTTGAAATCAGTGACTGTTTTTGTGGACACCCTGTGTAATGAAATCTGTAGGCCATACTAATGTAATAAATTTGAGAAAACTTCCTAAAAGGACGTTCTTAAATTACTGATCATTTTCCTTTGAACGTTTAAGTTTAAGAAAATACAAGTTATGTACTGTATCCAGCAGTGGGAAGTGACTTTTTTTTTTTCTTTAGCTCTGATTTTTTAAATTATTAGTTTTATAAGAAAAATTCCATGACATGTATTAAGGCTGAGGTGTTACTGGTCGAGAAGGTGAAGGTCGCGCCCTGTTGGTTTTCACAATGCTAGTGTGATCTTTACTCCAGTCTCTGCCCCCTCCTGAGTCCTTCAACATTACCCTCTCCCCCACACATACTTTCTTCTGTCTCCTATTCCTCTCTCCTGCCTCCTCTTCCTCTTTTTTTTTACTTTCCCTCTCTTCTACTCATTCTATCTTCCTTTCAGCTTTTTTCTCAACTTCTTCCTCTCTTCCTGCCTCCCCCTTTCTCCTAACTCCCCTTTCCTCTCTTTTTCTCTTCCCTCCCCTTTCTTTATCTTCCATTCTCCATCCCTCTCCCTTCTTCTTCCTAGACCTTTCTTTAACTTCTCTTTACCAATTACTGCGGTGAGATATACAGCATATGCTTGTCTTTTGCTTAATAATGTGAGTCTAGAGCTTAATTTTGGTTATGATAAACTTGTTGTGTTGTTTTTTTCGTTTGTCAACACTAGTCTGACATTCTTGAGACATCACAGCTGGCACCTTAATTTTTCTTTTTTTTTTTTTCTGGCATAATTACGTTATCATCCTAAAAGAGAGAGAGGAGGGAGAGGGACGGACGGACGTAGGGTATTTGCAGAGATCAGTCTAACTCTGAATATACAAGATAGATTTTACTTTCATCCGTCTGTTCAGTGTTTAATGCATTTTTGATGGTGTTACAATTTATTTCAGCCGTATTGATCCACGCACAGATGATAGGCTTTGAACCTAACAAATTTGAAGCCTGTGTTGTGTGCCCTATATCAATGAAGTAAAGAAGCATTATCAGTGTCTTTACCAGACACAATGTAGTTTCTTACCCATTAAAATTTATTTAAGTTTGGTATCTTGACTGGGGTTAGTCTCGTTAATACTTAAGTGCTGGATGTTGAACAATGAATTATGTTGGTAATAGTTAATATAGTTAGTCCAGTTATCAACTTTTGCTTCCATAGCTATGCTATACTTTTTTTTTTTTTTTTTTTTTTTTTTTTTTAGTTTAAGCAAAATTTGAGTTTAGAGTAATTGAAAGATGTACACTTCCTCTTTAACATGAGTAAAGTTTGTTGTTTTTAGTCTTAAATTTCATATAATTATGAATATTAGGAACAGTTGTGTTACTGTTCATCTAAGACATGCATCATTTAGTTAAGATAGACATTAAAGTGTTTGTGACACTCTTGATTGGTCCTCTTCAGATTGTTGGATGTGGATGTTGATCACGTGAAGACCTCACAGAAGGTACCCACCCTGCTGCGTGGTGGTGGCAACCCATACAACTTCTACACTGTTCTCAACTCAGTTAAAAATGACCTCATTTGGGGTCCTACCTCCAACGATGATGACGACAGCGACAACAGCACAGTGTCAACTCCTGTAACCAACACTGCAAGATGGTCAGACCAGTCTTCCACTGTTTCCAGTACAGGTCATGTCAAGGGTCACATGCGACGACAGAGCACTCTCTCAATGATATCCATGTCCTCAAACACCTCTGATGGCGAGAGTGAAGGTGGGTGCGATGTGAGCGAAGGCGGGGACTCTGGCGTGGAGGGTGAAGAAGGTAATGATGTGGCTGCTAACGTCATGGACTCCCTCAGAACACACCTGATGGGACTCCACTCGTGTCTCAGTAACCTTACAGATATGGCTACGTACATCACCGATCGCTACCAGGAGGAGGTAAATGCGTAGAGGGACCTCTACCCTTTACTAGTCATAACTGCATCAACGCTGAAAGACCTCGGCGTTGCACCACCATCCAGTTGTTGGATTGGAGTCTCCTTGATTAAATGTGGTAGTCAAAACAGCTGGGACAATATATCCCACCCCAGTTGTTGCGGGCCACAACCCACACTGGAGGGGCAGGTCCCCTCGACTTGTCTGTGATAGTGCGCGGTCACCCCTCGCTGTCCTCTCTCCCATGTGCAATGGTGAACGCCAACAACCCCATTGCTGTACCCTCGTGTTGAATGCACAAATTTGTCCATATCCCCCACATGTCTGAGCAATTAAGTCCCTAAACACTGTACAGTATAGGATATTATTTTTGTGAAGTGTCGGTATTCTCTTTGTTCTGCATTTCCTTGTAGCGGTCGTTCATTTCAAGGCAAACTTGCAGGTTTTACTTAATCAGCAATGATTTTGTCATGAAAAGCGAGAGTAAATTTATTTTGTTAAATGCTATAAAGGAGTATAAACATCACAAAGTTAATAGCCATAGACGTTAAATTATAATTTAGGATGGCCTTGGATAGCTTTAGGATATACGTATGTCAATCATAGCAAGGTTAGGTGATTTTTAAATTAATTACCTTAAAAAGTTAATTCACATTAATTTATTGATAAATGCAAGAGCAAAATTTTTCGAAAAGTTTATTGGTATGAAAATTTGAGCATATAGGGTATGAAGCACAATATTGCTTTTATTTTTTAACCACTTCCCCACCGGACCAATTTTGTGTAGTGAGGGGGCAGGGGGAGTTAATATTGTGTGGAATATGGAGGGCAGTATCAGTGTTACTGCGAGGGGTTCAGTGTACACCGCCTCTACACACCGCTGTACACAGACTGGCGCACGTTTCATGCATATTGTATGGGAAGTGATTATAGTAGCAGTATAATTATTTTGTATTATTGATTAGTCATTCATATATAAAGTGTTTTTTGTAGACTATGCATTTCATAACCCCTGTTTTTGGAGTGTTTCCAAAGGATGTTTTGAGAGCAGGTGCCTCTTAATATTAAGGTGCCTAGACACCACTGAGGAGTGCATAGGCGCTGTATTACCCCTGTGGGTTTTGCGCTCCCTCATGAAAGCTAATCATGCTCCTGATTCAGAATTGGAGCTACCTTCCCATTCCTTGGATCAAATCTGACTGCCTCCCATTCTTAAAGGTGCTGCATAACCCCTATGGGTTTAGCGTGCTTCCCATAGCAGACCCATCCTTCAAACCTAATTGACATCCATTACCCATGCACTGTAATTGCCTCCCTCCCCCTCATATGGGTTCAGTGCTTTCCATTGTACTGTCTTGATCCGGGGAATTGGATCTATTTCAATCCTTGGATCAGACCTAATGCCTGGCATTCACAGTGCTAGTGGAGGTCTGAGCTGAGGAATAAGAGCTACTCTTATCTTGAATCAAAACCAATTGCTCCATTATCCAAATTCTATATAATCTTTATAGGGTTAGCGCTTCCCAGTTAATATAAAATAATGATTGACCTGACAAGCTCAGTGCTGGTGGATCCGAGGAAGGTATCCCCGTATCCCACTAGCCCAGCCCCCTCTTTCTTAATGCTCGCAAAATAAACAGTGCAGACTGTAATGCGGTCAAATACCAGCTTTGAAGATTTGAGGCTCATCTGCTGAGGCATTCACAAACCTCTTAAATCCAGCATTTCAATTTTCCCCAGTTGCAATAAAAACGTCAAATATACAGCTGCACTGATCAAAAATAGACGATCGGAAGAGGCATTCTTCAGTTACTGCACAAAATTATTTAATAAAGTTGGTAAATTAAAAGTTAACACAGTCTAAAATCAATGGGGAATCTGCTGAATATCTGAAGCCGACCACGAGCAGCATTCCCAGTCTACACAGAATCAAACAAGCCCACGTCTATTAACTATGTTAGTAAATTTGCAGATTTGAATCTACAATCTTGAAGTATCACCATTTTTTATTGTGCATCAGCCATTATATATAAAGCCGTTCAGAAGAGGCATACTCCAATGTTTTTTCACTCTTCTAGAAAGGTTCATGGATGCTACTGAGGGCGTTTCTTTTCCTTGGATCTAACCTGAATGTCTCCCAGGCGCTGTCTGACCCCATATGGGCTTAACGCTTCCCCTGAATATAATTGTTATTGCACATATCCAATAACAAGTCGACACGAATTATGATAATTTGAAGTCTATCAGACCCCTCAAGGGAGGTTTCTTGACGCTAGTGAGGGGCTCTTGATCTAGGGGAATTGGATCTGTACTCCAGTTCCCTGAATTAAGCCTGAATACCTTCCATCCTTTCCCACAGGCACTGTATAATCCTACAGGTTTAGCGCTCCCCCATTATTATAAGTATCAGAAGAGGATTTTTTTTTTTCAAAGTTATTGTTGCATTGTATAAACCATACTGGCTTTTGAAATAGCAGCAGCGTTCGGTATATTACCCTGGAGGTTTAGCGCTCAGTTTTTATTATAATTCAAACACAGGAGGGGTGTGCATCCACTCTCCCCACACGGTATTTGCCTGCCTAGGTACACAACGTTTCTTTCGGCATAAATGGTGGGGATATTTTCCCTATCGTCTAAATCTGCTCATACCCTTAGCCGTTGACATAGGACGTATCCTGGACATGGGTTAAGGAATGTGAAAAATGCGTTATGACTGATTTATGCAATATGAAAGTGAAACTAGTCACGACAGTGGTAAGTCGGTATTGATAGTGTGAATTTGGTACGTGTATTTAAAGCACTGACTAACCAAAAGGTTTTAGTGTTTTGTAAACAGAATAGAATCACAAACCAAAATCAGGAGTTAATAAAATTTATAAAAGATCACACGTCCAACCCAATAGTTCAGAGAACCTTTCCTTCGTTATAGCTCACGAATATTCAAAATCTGAAGCTGGATGAGGCGTTCATAGGTTAAAACGAGAGCCGTGGAGGAAAAATAAAAACTGTTCTTGACTACTGTGTACAACTGGTTCCGCCATAAAGTCGTGTGAAAATATAGCATTTAAGGGCTCACTAAACTTGTGAATTCTAAAAAAGTAATGAAAGATTTCAATAATTCCCAGGTTCCATTTTCTCAGTTTTATTCTGTTTAAAATTCTTTATAGTCCAGTACAATTTTTTTTTTTTGGCTGTAACTGTCATTTGCTCGTACATGATCTAATAACAAGCCACAGTTTCTTATAAGATTCATCAGCATTGGAGGTTTGAACCCAGTCTGTTGAGGCATTCACATATTATTGCTTGTAAGCCAATATTGAAATTTTCCAAAATTTTGAACGAAATTGACATACCAGTTCAAGATAAATCCCAAAAGTATCTAATTAATTACGATACACCAAAATTTTTGGTTTGAAACCGATCAGACGAGGCACTCTCCAGTTACTTCACGGAAACCAATTAGTAAAATAGTAAGCAAAAACAGAGCCCAAAACCAGTGTCAACCATATATTTTTGAAAACATAATCATGCCGGAAGTCTGAAGCCGTGTTCTCATTATTATTATTATTATTATTATTATTAAAGATTCGCCGGTATTCTCCCGGCCCGGGCCTTTTCCAAGTGGTGGCCCGGCCTTGGCTCCCTCTTTAGGGAGTATCTGAGACCAAAGTCTCCCATGGGAGGAGGCACAAGTACCTCCTCATCTTTGGGACCAACTGTCCCCAGGCCTAGCGTCTCGTAGGAAGAAGCTAGGCCTCTCTGGTCTGTCATCCCCGCCCCAAGGGGGCTAATGGGAATGACAGTCTTGTGAGCTGTAAGCTCGGGCTCAGGCACCTACCCTACCCTAGAAGGGCTGGACATAGTGTCGATCGCGTTCTCATTATTCAACAATTCCATTTTCAGTAACTTTGTTAATAAATTGGCAAATCTGTTTTTTTATGTAAGTATAAACTTACAGGACGGCGCTGTATGACCCTTGTAGGTTCAGCGCTTCTTTTTGATAATAATAATAATAATAATAATAATATAATCAACTTACAGGATAATTTCCTTCCCATAAGATTCGTCAGCCATTAAAGACAGAACCTTTTCATAAAAGGCATACTTAAGCTATTTAAAGGAAAAATGCCACGCCTTTTTAAAAATAAAATTGATGCCAACGTAGCCCTCGTGAATATAATAATAATAATGGCACCAACATATGCCAATAACCATTCCAGTTTTTCAGGTAGTATACGCATGTGCTGGAAGTTTGAATCCGATCAGAAGAGGCTTTCTCAAGTTATCGCTCAACCTAACATCTACAAAAATGACCAGACACAGCAGCTGCATGAACCTTTCTCTGTAAATGCATCACACCTGTGCTGATAATTTGAAGCCTATCGGATGAAACATTCTCAAGTATAAACGAAAACCTTTGAGAGAGAAAACACTTTTTTGCCATCCACTTTAAGGCAATACCTGATAACGAAGGATTTTTTTTTATTTCTATATTAAGTGAAGCTGAAATTATAGATCTTGATCCAAGGAACTAGAGTTAATTTTTTTTCCCTTAAACCTGATTGCCTCTTATTTCCGAGTCACTGTGTTGCTCTTAAGGGTTTAGCTCTTCTCAATGGACATAATGAAACCTGGTTTCCTAGCATTCCTTAGGCGCTGTAGGCCCCATACAGGTCTAGCTCTCCCCCATAATAATAATAATAATAGAAGCATTGTGGTTTTGCTTAATTACTTCAGCCTTGCAATCAGTGTGCTTGAGATGTCATCTTGCAAGTATGCAGCAGGTGTTTTGCTTTATAAATAGCAGCAGGTGTGTCACCTCCGTCCTTCACTTGTGTAGCAACAGCATCACCTGAAGTTTTGGCAACAGTTCCTCGTGCTGGAGTTTCAGTTTCGTGGAGGAGGTGTTCGATCAGCACATGGGCATCCTCTAAAGGCGTAACATATATTGAATTAGAAATTATCCTAATGTATTGAATAATGCGTTTATAGACACTGTGGTCATTTGTGTTAAGTTGTCTGTGATACAAATTTGCGTCTATGTCAAATATGTATTCACCTAGTTGTGGTTGTAGGGGTCCAGTCACAGCCCCTAGCCCCGCCTCTTCACTGGTCGTTACTAGGTCACTCTTCCTGCTCCATGAGCTTTTGATACCTCTTCTTGTATGGATTCTGCCTTCACTACATCACTTCCCAAACTATTCCATTTCGTGACAACTTTGTGACTGAAGAAATACTTCCTAACATCCCTGTGATTCATCTGAGTCTTCAATTTCCCCTTGTGACCCCTTGTTGCTGTGTCCCATCTCTAGAACATCCTGTCTCTGTCCACCTTGTCGATTTCTCTCAGTATTTTATATGTCGTTATCACATTCCCACTATGTGTGTGTGTACTCATCCATTTGTACTCACCTATTTGTGGTTCCAGGGGTCGATTCGTAGCTCCTGGCCCCGCCTCATCACTGATTGCTACTAGGTCCTCTCTCTCCCTGCTCCATGAGCTTTATCATACCTCGCCTTAAAACTATGTATGGTTCCCGCCTCCACTACTTCACTTTCTAGGCTATTCCACGGCTTGACTACTCTATGACTGAAGAAATACTTCCTAACATCCCTTTGATTCATCTGAGTCTTCAACTTCCAATTGTGACCTCTCGTGTCTGTGTCCCATCTCTGGAACATCCCGTCTTTGTCCACCTCGTCTATTCCGCACAGTATTTTATATGTCGTTATCATGTCTCCCCTGACCCTCCTGGCCTCCAGTGTCGTCAGGCCGATTTCCCTCAACCTTTCTTCGTAGGACAATCCCCGTAGCTCTGGGACTAGTCTTGTTGCAAACCTTTGCACTTTCTCTAATTTCTTGACGTGCTTGACTAGGTGTGGATTCCAAACTGGTGCTGCATACTCCACACACACTGTGTGTGTGTGTGTGTGTGTGTGTGTGTGTGTGTGTGTGTGTGTGTGTGTGTGTGTGTGTGTGTGTATGTGTGTGTG